CTGGTACTTTTACGGATGATACCTTTTGACAGCATATCGCGTACCTGTTTTTCTACCTCTGGCAGTATCTTGTGAGATATCCTTCGGTACAATGGTTTACACGCGGCCCTTGGCATCACTTCTATTTTGTGCTCCAATCAATCACAAAAACCATACTCATCGTCCGCGGTAGAAAACAATTCAGAATACTTATCAACGCATTGCTTAACACATGAAATTGGACACTCCGAAACGGTCGATTCCCTCAAAACGCTGACGAGAGAATGCGTTTGTTTTCCTGAGCGCAATTCCNCCACGAGTAATTTACCTCCTACGAAATCGATGTTCGCACCCACGCGCCTGAGTAGATCGACACCGATTATAACCTCGCTTACACCTTCAATCAAGACCATCTCATGGGTAACGGTCACCCCAACAATCTTCACACTGACACATCGTTTACCCAGGACTCTGAGTGGCATACCCCCAACCGCACGCACGCTCACGTTGCACGGCTTCACCGGAACCCCTTCTACCCGAGGCATAATGGAAATCCCGGCACCCGTATCTATAACAGCCAACTTTAACCGTCCAAAAATGAAAACCTCAAGCCTTGGGACCCCAGGGCGGTTGGATTAGAAACGGAAAAACACGGACAAATGTGCTGGTTTGGGCAAAAACGGGCAAGATGTCCTACACCGTGGCAACTGAAACATCGCTTTGGCTGAACTTGAGCCCTGGAACGTCTCCTTCCCTGTAATCCGCCTTTCAATTCCTCCTTCAGTCTTCCGATTTCTTCAAATATTTGTTCAATCTTGTCTTCAGTTTCAGCAGCCTCCACCCGAGCAACCAAATCATCATTTTGGCAGGCTTGCACAATGGAACTTAGGCCCTCCGCATCATTCACTCCGCACGCCAACGCAAGTCTCAGTTTGTCTTTCACCTGTGCCGGCATGCTTTGTATGAACCTGTCCTTGGCAAGCCTCTCCCGTGTTTCGTTATTCGACGCTTGATGTATTGGTAGTGCGCCAACGGGTCTTCAGTTCGGTTGTACTCCGCAGCAT